GTGTGTGTGTGTGTGTGTGTGTGTGTGTGTGTGTGTGTGTGTGTGTGTGTGTGTGTGTGTGTGATTTCTGCCATGGTTTCCCAGCCCTGCTCAGGCAAATAGTGTGGCCCGCGCCCCCTCCCTGCGTGGCAGCTGCCGGAACCTGTGAGCTGCAAGCTGTGCCCCACGGGGAGAGGCAGAAGGAAGACGGGAGCTGCAGGAATGGGGCTGCTGCTTTCCGGGAGGAGAGAGTGAGGGTAACGGGTGAGTGGGGGGGGCTGCCTGGAGGATGGGGCATGACTCGAGTTCTAGAGGCAGCCAAAAATGTAAATTGTGCCCCCCCCCCTCCCACTATCAGCAGCTATGGGTTGTCTCTGCCTGGGATTGTAAACCCTGAACTTCTGAGCTGTTCCCTGCTGCTTGGGGATTTGAAGAGTATCCAGAGGGTACAAAGGAACTCGACCGGCTGCCTGGGAACTAGGCACAAGCAGTTCCCAAGGCAAATGCTGAATAAATGCAAAGTAGAAACCTACCTGTCTGAGAAACCCGCACTCCAGCCATTCCACTCCAGTGTACCCAGGGGTGAAAGTAAGTTAAAGGACTTACCGGTACTCCAGAGTCCTTGGGGAGTGGGGGGGGGACTCAACCGGAAGAGGTGGGGCCTTTAAATCACTATCCAAGAGGGCTCCCGGCTGCCGCCGCTAGCCCAGGACCCCGGCCTCTGGCAGAGCTTTAAAGGGCCGGGGCTCCACTGCAGTATCACCGCTGGAGCACCGCCGCTGCTACCCCATGGCTCCAGCAGCAATTTAAAGGGCCTGGGGCTCAAGACGCCGCTACAGCCCGGAGCCCTGGGGTAGTGGCAGCGGACCTCCGGCAGCAATTTAAAGGGCCCAGGGCTCAGCCACCGCTACCGCCCAGGCCCTTTAACTTGCTGCTGGAGTCCCACTGCCGCTACCCCAGGGCTTTGGCAGCAGGGCTCTGGGGACGATTTAAAGGGCCTGGAGCGGTAGCTGCGGCTGGAGCTCCGGGCCCTTTAAATCGCCACCTGAGCCCCATCGCCACTACCCGAGGGCTCCGGCAGCAGGGCTCTGACAGCAATTTAAAGGGCTCCCAGGCCCTTTAAATTGCCGCCAGGGGAAGCCAATCCACCCCAATACAGCATACCGGCTCTTGCTTCTTTCCTGTGCTTCTTTATCAGATTCGGGCTGATGGGCTACTTGGCTCTTTATCCACCCAGCCTGCAAGCCTTCTTAGCTAATTACCTCAGTCAGCTTTCTTTGGGGGACTAATTGATGTCTAAGGCTTGGTCTACACTACCCCCCTAATTCGAACTAACGTACGCACCTTCAGCTACGTGAATAACGTAGCTGGAGTTCGTAGTACCTTAGTTCGCACTAGCTCGAACTTACCTTGGTCCACACTCGGCAGGCAGGCTCCCCCGTGGACTCCGCAGCTCTCCGCCCCGCCAC